CAAATTAGTGACCACCATCGAGCAGTATAACGATGGTCGCTTTGCCATTCCCACGGCCAGCCATCAACAGTTTCCATGCCTCACGAATGCAACCCGCTGCGATGGCCAAAGCACCTGACTCCACCACACTGCTCCCCTGGCCGCAAAGCACATAAATCACGGCTCTGGCTCTGCAGTGACTTGTCCTCATTAATTTGCTCCTTGGCTGAGTTTAATTTCTCTGAATGTCTCTAATTGCAACGGCTCTTTATCGTGGAAGACTCGTTCACTTCGCACTGATAGAAAAATGTTTGCACATAGCAATCTGTGATAATTGCTAATATTTTTTTTTTTTTCCTAGATCTTTGCAGATGGGTTTCGCTTTCAATCGAATAAGGTTCATCATCTGAGAAATGGAACTTTGAGCAAAGGAGCTTATAATTTAAGGTAATAATATAAAAAACTATTTTATAGAAAACGAATTCAAACTTAAACTGCAATAAAATTAAATCGATTTGAATATATGGATACATAAATATAAAGTATTTATCTAAAATGTAATAAATTACAAACAACGATAAGAATTAGGTATATTCAAATTTTTTGTATATATTTATTATTAAAAGAAACATGCAATTATTGCTGCGAAGTAAATTTTAAGGTAATATATATATATATATTTATATTAAAAATAAATTTATTATCGGACATTCATATAACATTTATTTAATTTGTTGAATATTTCTTGAGAAATGTTGAGTGTGCCATTGGCACCTACAAATATTTTATTTTCTGGCATGCAAAGCTTTAAGTCTTTAACTGCCGAACACACATCATCAAATTTCATTCAAGTAAACAACATTGATGTGCCCGAACGAATTGGAGGACTTTTTAAAATGCAAATTAATTGAGAGTTAATTTAAATATTTGCAGTTGCCAACAAGTGAAATCGTCAGCAGCAATTATCAAGCATATTACGTATACGCCACCGGCGCATTTCAGTGTATTTTAAGAATTAAAGAAACAAAATATCCACAAGGCTAGAGCATGGTCGACGATAATGGATTTTTAATATTTAAGGAATTTTTAATACATATTCATTAAACATGCGCAAATCTTATTAACTCAGTCACAAATATTTTAGATCTATTTACTAATTGTTAATATTAAATATTAATAAGTTTTTGAATTTAATTTATTTGCCATTAGATGCAATTTATTATTTGCTGTTTAACATACACAATTATTATTTATTGCTTGCTCTTCATAATAAACAATTTTTAACAGATAAATAATGTTTCGTGCTTGCAGTATATAAGATATTCACGATTCGGTCTGGCCATGTTTATTTGTTTATTTGTTTTGGCAAACAACAAAGTAAAGAAATGAAATTCGAAATATATTTCTCGTATACAAAAAACAAACAAGTTAATAATTTTGTTTGTTTTTCCACATATCTGATCTCATTCGTTCAGCATAACTTATGGATTATTAGGGAGCTATTTTCAGACCACAATCTTGCTCAAAACATTTCCTATGTTTATTTCCAAATGCAGTTCTATGGATTCAATAAAAAACAAAATTTAAATCGAATTAATAATAAATGGTGGCCCATATTAAATGTTTAATGCAAAGCCAAGTAAATATTTGTATACAAATTTGAAATTGATTTGTTTTCATTAGCGCTGACTGACTCGCTTGAACCAATTTGTCTGTTTAGAAACGTAATCGATTCGAGTATTTCGCTTTCGCGTATATTTGTGATTCATATGCAATCGGTAAGTGCATTTCAAATGCAATGAATGGCATCGTTTATCACTTGGTAAAACAAATTTGCTTTAAATTGCAAAATTGTTGGGTTGCTCGCTGGCGGGCTTCGGTTGGAATTCCCTTGGCGAGGGGGCCTGGGGAGGGGCACGTTGCATAAATGATGATGCTGTGGCCGCTGTTGCTGGTGTTGCAATTTTCGCTGAGATAATTTGTTGCCGCAAGGAAGTGCATCGAAAGTAGCTGCCCGTTAGTGACTTCATAAATACATACATGGAGCCAGACAATTGTGCCGGTAGGAAGGGATGGGGTGCATACGCATCTACGGGTGTGGCGGAGCATTAAATCATATACGACAAGATAAATTAGCACACAGCAAGCAAACGCGAATAGCAGTAAAAATGAAATAAAAAACCAACTGGCGAATTCAAAAAGACATAAATGCGGTAAAAATAACCCACACACACAGCCGAACATTTCCCACTTTGTTTGCTCAACCAAGCAAAGCTCTGCTCAAAATTCGCAGCAAGTTTTCTGTTGTGCTTTTTACTTTATTTCATTTCACTTTATTTTGTTTCTTCATATTCCTTTGTTTTGTTTTTGTGCGTGTGTGCGTGTGCGTGTGTGTGTGTATTTGTGTGTGCTTGTGTTGCCCTGTCATCTGGTGCTTTTAGCTCAGCCCTGGCGTTTCTCTTCGTGTTTTTCTTTTGTCTATTTACAGCGTCATTTTATTTTTAAAATTTTGCTCTGCTTCCTTTCGGCGTTCGCTGCTCGCACCGCATTCCCTCATCAATGTACGCGACGAGCTGTTTACGCATTCGCCCCGCGCTGCTATTCATATAGGTTGTGCACGTGTGTGTGAGAGTGCGTGTGTGTGTGTGTACGTGTGTGTGCCTGTGGGAGGCTGTGCTTGCGCCTTTTTCATATTCAATTCCATTCAGTTGCCTTAATGTGGCATTAAAGCAGATTGAGAGCGATGAAGTATGTGTGAGTGTGTGTGCGTATGTCACATTGTATATATGTATGTGGGATAGCGTCAATGTGTGCCAGAAGTAAACAAACAGCACAGTGCTGGTCATTCAATTAGTTCAACCTATTGGGTAGCAGTGAGTGTAAACAAGTCTTAGCATAACTAATTTATACAAATTAAAAATTATAATTTTTAAATAAAAATCTAAAATCTAAAATGTATATGAAATTTTAATTAAAAATCTGTAAAATTAAATATTTTTTCGTCATAGGCTTCAACTGATTTTGTTGAGGATTAAACAACTTCTTAGACTTTTGCTAAGAATTTTATTTTCTGACTTAGTCTGTGCTTGTTTTCTTTTAATAAGCTTCAATAATAACTATTAAGTTGACTCTGAAAACTTTTATTTTCCATGACCAGAATGTTTAATATGAATCTAATCTAAGGAACCATCTCTTTAATGTGTAATATATGTACATATAAAAATATCCTTTGTATGTGCATAGCTTGATGGGTTTCTCACTGTTAAATTTAATTTCAATTCATTTTCCTCCCTTGTTTACATTTCTTATATGGGGCGTGATGAAAAAATCGGTCCCAGTTTTAACAAAAGAAAACAATCAAATGTTTTTGACACAAAATTGATGCATTTATGGCAAGCGTAAATAATAAATAAATATTCAAAAAACAAACAACGATTTCTGGCGTCATAAAAAAGTAAAGCTTTTGCTTTTTTACGCTCACACAAAAAGTGAAAAGAGGGTATCGATTATGAATATTATGACACTCACTGTTCTTGTTGTTGTTTATACCCTGTACAAAACTTTAAGTTATATGGATGCGCATACTATGTATATTCGTAAATAATAATATATATATATTTATTTTATTGTTACGCCCTTAGTTTCAGTTTTATTTGAGTTATTGTAAAATCCCTCAAGAGACGAGCGAACAATATTTTGCTCAATAATTCTACGAGCGAATGTTTCTAGTCCATAAAAACAAAAAGGAAGCTGGCAAACGTTTACCAATGATGATAACAGCATTGAAAAACATTGCGAATTTAAAAGGTTTGCATGTTAAAAACCATCAGCAATAAATGTTAAATAATTTGATGAATTATTGAATGTTTGCTTCAAGTGAAACGAAACAATGTGTTTTTTGAACGTGAAATTTATTTAGGATAAATAGGAAATGACAAATATTTATTTGGCTGCCAAGTGGAAAAGAAAATTGAATCGCAGCTGCTGCCAATTTGGCCTTATTCGCATATCTATATTATGCCATATCCATCACACTTGGCACAATTGCAGTTTAGAACAATGGCCAACGAAGTGGCATATTGTTGTTGGTAGGGCTCGCTGTTGCTGCCGATGAGTGATTTGATTAACATTTCAGCACATTTGTGCCGCATGGGCGGGCGAGGTAAATGGAGCCCACTTTCAGTGAGACAGACAAAGGAAATCGAAAAGGAATTGTGCTGATCACAATGGCGTTTGGCTTGCCGTTTGTTTGGCATGCACGCATGTACATCTCATCTTCAAGTCTAATGACAACAAGCCCGGACGCTTCTATGCCAGCCACCATATCCCCGAGCTACAACAAACTTTATGTGCCATGTCGAAACTGAAATCGAGGCAGCTGTGAGGGCGCCTCGGTGGATTACCCGCTGTGTATTCTATTAAAGCTCTGCATTTTGTTGCATACTTTGGGGCGGCCCTATGCAAAACTGCCACGGAGAACGCTTTAAGCCGTGTTGGAGCCGGAAGTTGTAAACGGCAGCGAAAACAAATGTTTCACTTGCCTTGTTGACCGCCTGCCCCTCATGGCAGCCAACTAGCTGTGGCCTCAACTCCGAAGTGCAAATAAAAAAAGAATATAGAACAAAAGTTTGTTGCTGTCGCATGCTGATTGCCGCGTAATAGTGTGTGTGTGTATATCTCTGTGTCTGTGTGTTTGTGTGTGTTAGATTTATGCTCTGTATGTGACAAGTTGAAAAGCCCAAGCGGAATATATGTATGTAAGGCAAAAGTTTGGCAAAGAAGTTGAAACATAGTTCTGTTTAAATTCACTGCGGCTGAGATGGTGGCCTGAAAGCCAGGCCAAGAGATAACTTAGAAATATTGGAGTTGAAGAGTTGAAAGAAACAACTTAATTTATAAGTTTTGCCAGATGATTCTTGGCAATCCCCACAAAGATCTATGTGTTTAGAGTGGCTTTAGGTTATGTTGGGCTGCAATCGATTAACGTAACTGATAAGAGCTAAGCTTTTCAATAATGAGAGAAGCAGCTTGATAATACCTTTTAGGCATTAATATCCCATTTCTAATTATTACAAATATATATATGAATTTTGAATTATAGATTGATATACTTAAGTCGGTTAAAGTTGGCATATAAACGTATATTTCATATCGCTATTGTCACACCCATTCAGTCTAGTCGAGTTATTTATTTGCTGCGAGCTTACGAACATCAGCTAATTAAAATGCTGGCCCACCGTAGGCGACTCGCTAGGAGCCTTCGATGTTAAGTATCAAATAGCATGCAAATCAGATAAATTTCTATCCTATCTCATCCTTAGCCGTTCGCCGCACAGCGGGCTGACAAAATGTCTGTAGGTGATGCTCTTTGCTGTTCAAGTTCATCAGAGGTGCTCACAATGTATATATACATATTCGACTTATATATAGCGCTTGGCTTTGTATTTTTTTTCGTCAGGGGGGGCTGAGGGGGCGACTCACATTTGTTATTTGTTCAGAAATTTGTCAGCACGACTTTCGTGTGACTTTCTGTCTCCATCTCGCGCGTGTCTTTCATTTTTCTGCGCTCTGGGTTTTATTTTGTTCATCAAGTGGATTCTGTTTGGAGCACGGTGTGATGGAGGTTGAATGGTGTGGGTGGCACACGATTGTCATAACAAGTGCGACGTCTTTGGCTAACAAGAAAGACAGCGCCAGGTGTCAGCATTCTTGCAATTTATAAGTTTCAACGCCCAATCAAAGAGCGAGCGTATGTGTGTGTGTGTGTGTGTGTGTGTTTTCATATTTAAATCGACGGTATTATTCAGAGGCTCCCAAGTGCGCAGCATCAGTCAAGTAGATTAATATCATAAAATATTCCATCTATCCACTTGACTTGATATATTTGTCAAATAGCTATACTTAATAATAGTGTCTAAATTTGGAACAACATGGCTCAGTTGCCTTAATTGACTCACATTTTTTTTTTATTTATTTCTTTATTTCTTGATTATCAAATGCAATTCAAGCTTAGTTGGAGCTAGTTGGCTTTCTGGTATTTATAAACAAATATCATCTATAAATATTTCGAAATTCTCTTAGAGATTCGACAATAAATACCTGGCGATTATTGCAGAGCACAATTTCTGCAGTATTGTGGCTAATGAATGCCATAGAGTGGCTGCAGCAAGTGGCACAAGTGCCAGTGCATATTTGCGTAAGTATGTGTGTGTGTGTGTGTGTGTGTGAATAAGCAAAGCTGGAATATTCGCATAAACACTCTGAGTATGTATAAGCTCAATGTGAACTCTCAGGGCATTTGTGCACTCTCAAGCTATTCATACTTGTTTCGAATTGGTTTTGCACGCTGTTGAGCTTAAATAGTCAACAATTAAAGCAGCAAATGGAATTGGCATAAATAAATTTTCTTAAGGCCATGCAATGGATATTAACTTATACAAGATTTATGTTTTTTTATGAATTGTTTCTCTTTTTTTTCAAAATTTCCAAAATTATGTATTTTATAATCATATTCACAATATGTTTATGAAGTATTCAGGGAAGGAATCGATTGTGGCTCAAGGGGTAACGTTACGTATACGTAACGTAAATATATCTTACCAGAGTTGTCACGGAGTTTGAACAGTGTTGATTGCTGCGCAGATGGGGGTCAGTTGCCCGTGTGGCTTTAGGTGTGATCTGTCGGCTAGACAGTCGACTGAGTCCACTGCTGGCACAAAGCTCAATTGGATGATGTCTCTGGGCCGACTTGTGATACACGCACAATTCACTTAAACCGCTTACTCGGAGCGCTTTGAGGGTGCACAGTAAATCCCTTTAGCCAGACGCAATTAAAACGTTTTGCTGTGGCCTTTTGACCGTTTGACTTACGGTTCGTGTCAAGTGCCCTTCGAAATGGGCTTTCCAATGTCAGGCAAACACGTGTTAGCTGTGAAAGCCGAGCTGTAGCTATGATTTGAACGGTTCTCTACTTGATTTTCGGTTCGGTTCGGCTCGGATCGGTTTGAGTTTCAGTCCTTAATGCCCGCACGTTGCGTTCCACGGCGCGCTGCAATTTGCGAAATAGGCCTGTAAAAATTTTAAACATCGACAGCGGCACAAATATTTCGGCAATTAAGATGCGCCCCGGCGTCTGCTCACGGCGCGTATACGCGATGCTGGTAACGGAATTCCTTAATGTAAGCAGGCGTCAGTTGGCTGGCGTGTGTCGTCTTTAATGGCAGCCATGGCGACGGCAGCACTGCCAGCGACACGACAGCCATATCAACAGAACCAATACCCTCCCGCTCTCCCCCAGAGGTATGTCATTCTTGTTAATGCCACTGCTGCGGGCCTCTGCTGGGCTGGAAGGAACTCATGTCGTGAGCCCCTCTAGGCTGTCAACACTTTTGTAGCCTGAGATTATGTGAGTGTGGCTTTGCTTTAGCCTCTGCTAAGCCTTGACTTCAATTCTATTACCTTCTCTAATAACTGTATGGTATTTGCGGTTTTTTGATTCCAAACATGAGCAAGCTATTGAATCGCAGTAAAAGTTGCTCTTTATATGAAATGTATAGAATTTGACATGTTGCAATGTTGGTTAAATCTAGCTTAATTTATCTCTCTTTCTATCTTTCTCTCTCTCTCTCTCTCTCTATGCATAACTGAATTATTACTCGAGAATAATAATCTCCTGCCATTATTTGGTATTTTTATCCCCAATGAGCTGCAATTTTTGTAAAACACCAATTACAATTGCTACAATTGCAATAAATATATTATACTCTGTATTTGTATTGTTGTTCTGCATAATTTTTGATTTATACTCTAAAGAGCTGGCATAAAATAAAATCGATATTTCCATTGAATAATAACAATATTATTGTTGCATTTGTATAAATTTCAACATAATCAACAATTGATGAATGTCGTTGTTTACTTTTGCCTATTGCTGGCATAAATTGTGAAATTTATTCCAAATACACAATTTGGCATATATGGAGGCAGTCTAAGGAAGTCAGTAGTATACGGGTATTGCTTTCGTTATAATGTCATATAATAATTTCCTTAGATCAATCTGACGTTGCTTTAAAGCTGACAAAGCTGTGAAGCCTGACTGAAACCCAAGTAATAAATACTTCGTAAGTATATTATCCTAAAGATGTCAAAGTAAAGGGCTTACTCCCAAGAAATTTTAAGAATGTGGCATTCCTTGCAAACTCAATTTTGTATACCCTGAGCCCATTTGAGATGGGGTGAGCATGGCTTTGTGAGAAGCATGCCACTTACATCAAGTCGATTGAATTCAGAGTAGAGATTGAAATTGCTGCTATTAAGTGACATACAAATTTTACACTTAAGAAGTTGTCAAGCATTCAAAAAATGGTTTTTTTTTCTTCGAATTTCAGAGTTTTTGTAGTTATGGCCTGAAAATTTGACGAGAATAATATGAGAGAGAAAGAAACGGAAAGAAAGTTCACGCCCAGTGACGTGCGTGATTATATATATTTTCGTCTACGTTTGAAGTGGAAAGTGGAAAGTGCTAGCAGCGGGAGTTGGGGCTCAGGGTGTCTCCTAGTCGAGCACACCCGACTAAAAAATGTCTAGTGGTGTTTCATTTATTTTTCGCTGTACAAAGCAACAATGCAAAAAATGTCGTAGGAAAAATGACAAAATGTCAAAGCCTGATAGCATAAATAATTTCTTGGAAGTTTGAACTGTGAAGAAGCCCAAATCAAGTGAAAAGATGAAAGAAATTTCATTAGCATAGGGGATAAGAAAATACTTTCATTCTCACTTTTCCTATATAATAGTTCATTATGCCTAGAAACAATATATTTAATTGAATTTGTGTCATCATCAATATCACAGGCTCCATTTGAGCTGACGATGGGGACGCGTCGGATTCTTTGGCGGCAATTATAGCTCATTAAGGCAAACACCAGCTGATGCCAATGAGTTGGATGTCCACGGCGCTGTCGGACCGAGGAATCAATATCGATATTCCAGGCACGCCATTGGCTTTCGGACCGCATCCCACAATGGCCGCAGACTTCGTGGCAGAGTTGCCTTAGCTGCCCTGAGTTCATTCATAAAAATCTTACGCTTGCTCGGGCGCCAACCTACAAATGCTGGCTGTGCAGTGTTGAAGCCTTAAGCTTAGGCAATAACACGCAAGCTGCAGACACACAAACTCTCTCACCCAGCCACACTCGCACACTGGCACACACACACGCACAAGTTGGGAAACTTTAAGTTGTGGCTGCGGCTGCCACTTAACTTCGAGCAGTTGACTTGGACCGTTTCTTGCAGAAGCCGCGTTCCGTACTTATCTGGGCCGCCCAGTAGAAGAACGATAACAACAGCAAGAACAACAAACACAAGTAGTACCTTAGCAAAAGTCCGCACACGACTTGCGCACGTTGTAGCTGTATTTTTTCACCGAGTGGCACAGAACTGAACGCGTCGAGGTTGTCACGGGAACTGAAATTGAAATTGAAAAGGCAGCGCCTTACATGCGGCCGCCAATCGTCCTTCCTGCCGTCGTCCTCGTGCCTACGGTCGGCTCTGTTCGCAACGAAAGTGAAATGTAACGCATACGCAACGTTGACCCGCTTGCCAAGTTGCGATGCGCGGCAGCTTTTGAAGTAAACGAGACGAGCTTTCGGAGAGCGACAGAGCAAACAGCTGATTTTTGTTATTGGGCTATTTGCCGGCTGGCCTCGTTGCTATTGCTGTTATTGTTGTTGTTGTTGTTGTTGCTCTGCTTTGTTTATGTATTGACAAGCCTTGTTTATGTTTGCAAAGGATTAGGTAATTTATTGTTTTGATAGTTAAGCACATATATAAGTACTAGACTATTGTAATAATAGAGCAGTGTCAGCCATTAAATTCGTGAGCTTTTCATATGCAAATTGAGCACTGACATAACTATGAGCATTGATTTATTGTTTATACATATATAATATAGCTAATGCAAAGATATCCATTAGCATATTTGGTAATTTAGTGACAAATTGAAAGACTTCGTAAATTCTAATAAATATATATAGTTTTGTATTCATTTATAGCTTATCAAAGTAATTTGGAGTTTGAATAATTATTGAAAAGGACTTTATCACAATTTCGTTACTCATCAAATTTAAAACATTTCAGTTGGTTGCAGACTAGGACGTGTCTTATCCTTATATGAGGAAGCTTTAAATTGTAAAAGCGTAAGAGCTTAAAATCGGTCGCAATTTCAGCTTTCAGTTCACAATGGAAACGTATCCTTGCTCAGCGTTTTATGGGAGCTTAAAAAGCTTTAGCTGATTCAGCCTCCTTTCAAGTTTAACCATCCATAAAAGTACAGTTCAGTTAAAACGTACATAATACCAAAAAATGCATATATTTAATGTATGTATATAACATGCATATAATACAAAATAAATTATATTTCACTCATGCAACCGATTTATAAGTATATTAAAAGATTATTCATCGTTGCCTAAATTATAATAAGAATTACTTTATTTTTTTGATTTATTCGGGCTTTATATCAACAATTACTATGTGCATATGTGAATTATATTGTCTTAATCAAATTATAAACTGTCCATGAGCATAACGACAGCAGAGTGCATCCATTGCGTATTGCATTCAGACAGTCTTCTCTTTTTACTCCATAAAAGTTCTCATCCTTTGTGCACAATCGAAACAGAGGAATATAATGGCTTTATAATGCTCATAGCACCTGCCCAATATCAAACTTATATCTTTAACATTGTTTCTTCCACCTCATCACATTAAATTTTCCTCGTAAACATATTTGAAATATTCGATGTGCAACGGCTTTTTAATATCAAGCAAGTAAAGTCTTCTAGGCGAGACTGCTCGACTACGAGGTCATCGGAACTATTCGAAGAATTGCATGGACATCTCCAGGAAACTTTAAGACTATATTATTTGCGATATTTTATATAATTTAATAAATGATCTCCATCGATAACATTACAACAAATATAGCTACAGATTTTTAAAAAGCAATCGAAGTCTCAGACATGGCTAAATCTACTCAGCTGGTCACTTTATTCAAGAATATATACTTTATAGTGTCTGTCACGCCCCCTTACATAGAATTTAACCTAACCGGTATACCCTAATTTTTCCAGGATTTAAAAAATTCGAATACAAAATCCTCTTTCTTTCTTGACTACGTCAACAAATTGTATTGAGCAAAGCTCTGTAAGTGCCGTAAACCTTTAGTTGACGTCACTTAATTTGTATTTTTGTTTGGCCAGTGTAAATTTTATTGCTTAACTTTCTGACACGAAGCCTTTTAGCAGCTGGCCGACCTTTTGGTAGCCCTAGGAATGCCCACAAAGTTTACACAGGTCAAGCAAAATATTTTGCCAAACACATATGACAACTTCTTCTCCGGGGCGTGGCTGAGGCCGCCCACATTGTGTGCATGGCACGCAATAAAGCGGAGAAACCAAATTTATATAAAGGAACGTTTTGCGAACCCTTTTAAAAATCGGATGCTGTTGTTAAAGGGCATCGGGTTAACCACCGACCTCAAAGTTTGCAACTTATTCAGCTGGGCTGAAAATGCTTAAGAATCTACTTAATTTTTCACCATTGATTGACTACAAATTTTTTTCGCCATACCTTTTGAAACAATGCGGAAAAATCGCAGCCATCTGCTTGATTAAATTTCATTCGATCAACGGCTACTGCCACCTGCAGTTCAGCGCAGTTCTCATGCTTTGTGGCTATGGTTACAGGTGTGGCGCAGGTATCGCTTAAATAAATTGAAATTTGTTTACCGCCTCTGTTTGCACAGGCGCCAGGAACCGAATCTAATTAAATGGCCTGATTCACGGAATATGTGGGCTATGGCCGAAAGAAAGAGCTTAGAGCCTCAAAGTTGGCTAAGCTCGCAACAGCTGAGAATCGAACATGATTCTGCCTATTGAGCCAGTCGCACTTACATCCTGTTCCAGTTCCAAAGTTTGGGCCAGCTTTCTTTTGCCCATATCTGTGGCATTGTCTTTGCATGCCAGGCACATAACTCATTTTGAACAGCCCACAGCATGGCTTAAAACCAGGCACGCCAACTTTTTGTAGGTATATATGTATATATATGTATGTATATGCATATATAAATATTATATATACACACAAAGTTTCGATGCTCAATGCTTATTCATTCTGGGCTACACTTTAAGGATTTGTATAAAAAAACAACTCTCAATGTCTGCCACTCGCTTTGAGCAGGTGTATTTCCTGATTTCAGTTTTTCGACTCTCTGATTGGCAAACTTTTCCAATGAAACTTATGCTTATGCGGTGCATGCCAAAAATTTCGCTAATGAGAAATTTCGTTATCTACTTGCGGCCCAGAAAGCTCTAATTGACTGAAAAATTTAGTTGTTTAATTGACTGTTCAAATTCAACCTGACTCAAAGTTAATTAAATTGCATTAGATTGAAGAAAATTTCGAAATTACTTTCGACTGCATCAGCTGCTCAATCAACTCTAAATGATTCGAACTTTGCATTTTAATTTACATCGTGCAGCCTGTATTTAAGCCTTATTTACTGCCCTTGCACCACATGTCGCACACTTTCATATTGTGTCTGCTTTGGCTGTTGCATTCATTTCGTTTTATGGCTGCCATTAAGAATATATTAAAATCAGCAATGTGGAATTTTTATGAGCGTCCGAAACAGTTGACGTTGGCCATTATTAGGCCGGAAGTAAGTGTGAAGTGGACAGCCGACAATGGCGTGGCGCACGTCCAGTGTCTGCTCTAGACTAAACCATGGACAACAACATGTCGTATACGTAATTGCGCATTCGCCACGTTGTGCGTGGCTATTATAAAAGGGTGCAAGTGCACCACTTTCAGCTGAATGCCGACACGTCCCATTGGCCACAATAATTTACTACATATAACAGCAGCATCAATTCAACAATCCCTAATTTTCCACTCTGACATCAACGTAAGTGCAGGAAATTTAAATAAAGGAAACTGAAAAAGCAACATAACTTAATTAAATTAAATGTAATAATTAAATTTGGTCAAACCAGGGATTATTATATTTGCATTTACTTAAAGGGAACAAAAATAATAACAAATTATACCATTTTTTTCCCCAGCAAGTGAAAAGCATTTTTATACTCACTTTTATTTATGTAAAAAATGAAAATTCATGCTCCCTCACGGTTGACGACAGTTAAGCCAACATTTTGGCTTGACTGAATCATGCGCGGCCTTTTGCGAGTCATTCCTGAAGTTTTCGCTCGGCTGCGTGACGGAATTTGTTTTACTCGTTGCAATTTGCAAGCGAGTGTAGAGCGCCGACCCATTAGGCAGGCGACAAATAACTCACCAACTTGTTGCCCTCCCAGTTATTCCTCCATTGAAATCACGTAGCGCATAAGTTTAAATTTCATTTAATTTTCCATTTCGCTCTTTTTATCCAATTAAAGTTTTAGCTCTCATTTTGAGAGCGCAGTCAAAGATCTATTTGACAAAAATTAGAAGAAACTGATTACATTTGACATAAAACTAAATTGCTTGCAGTACATTTTCCAAAGTAGTAAAGATAACATAGCGTAGTAAATTTCCCAGCTGCAACACTGAAAACCAGTATTTAAGAGAGCCAAAAGTCGCTAGCTTGGCCAACGACTCTCTTCAAAAAATTCCAAGTCCATTTGCTGACACTTTAATTGATAAGCTGTGTTGTGCCTTATAAGATAATAAAAAAGTTGTTAGGATTTTTATTTATTTATTTATTTTTATATAAGTAAAATAAATAATAAACACTTCTGCTGTCAATTTTTGGCAATATTATTTATTTATTTTAAATTAAATTTGTACATATATGTTTATATATTTAACCGAAGAATTTAAATGCTAAAATCAAACTTGAGCAAAAACTGCAATTCATCTATTTGCATTTTGGTATAAAACAGGCTTAAATTCCATTACAATCTGTTGCAAAATTTTAAAGTAACATTGATTAGGTAGGTCAAAATCTCATACGCCCAACATAGGCATGCCCTAAAATTGTACACAAACTATGATTTATTTACAAGCTAATAGAATTTCCATTATAAATTATCCATCGTTAGTCAGTTAATCATTTTAAGGAGCACGTGCTTGACAAGTATCATTGATTAACGCAGACGTCAGCCGTCGGCATTTGATTGGACACAAATAGTTGTTTATGCCAGCGGAAATCATAACAATAACTACTCAAGCTACTTGCCATCCAATTAGCAGACAATCAGCCCATTCTTCAGGTCTATCATTTGTGTCAATTTCGTAGGCGCAAGCACCACAATCAGCAAACTGCTTGGGCGATGATAGCGCGCCCTTGCACAGCAAATCGTATTCCCCTCAATGACAATACGGACAATTTGCAGGCCTGTCCCTATTTTGGCGTCACACGCACTCCTGGGCCAGCCAGTTGGTCTGGCGCT